AGTGGATTCAAAACTGCTATATGTATAAATCACTATAAAGAAAGTGTGGGATATAAATACTAACATAATCCTTGCGTCCCAAGGTAGAATGCATGACCTCTAGACTGTAAACTCGTTTGAGTAGGGTCCTCTTCAACCTATTGTTCCTGTAAGTTTTTGTAATTGTCTCATTTATTGTTAAATCATCTCCCCCTCTTATAATATTGTAAAGTGCTACCAAATATGTTGGTGCTATATAAATGCCAGTAATAATAATAATGTATATACCCATATTACCATGCGTGCCAGTCCATGCATTCCAGCTTGGAACACCAACATCAGCCTTATTTAACCTTGGTAAGGCTAGGCCAGGGCCAACCTGAGTTCCGTCCCCAGGAAATCTCTCCAGGATTAATCAAAGATTTGTTCCAAAATGGGTGAATCTCCCACCAAACATGAAAATATGAAACCATGTTTGAGCAACCTCAGAAACATCACGGAGATGATGCATTCAATATGTGATTCAGTTACAGCAGGTACCACCTCCAAACATCTGGGGTTATATTTCTGTCCAGGTCTAATTTTTATGTAAAGAAAATAGACTAGATAGGATACTGAGCAGTTAAAGGGAAGATTTATTTCAGTGCAGAAAAAAATTTAAAATATGCGTATGTGGAAGAACAGACTAATTACATCCTAAATCAGTGTTTATTGGGAAAATTCTTTTGGAGAACAATCTGTGAGTACTTTTGTGGATAAACTTTTCAAGCTGTGCGCAACCTTAGACAATTGTTACAATGCAAGCAAGTTATTGTACTTAAAATTGGAATAAATGCCCAACATGAATATATTTACACCTATTTTTTTAGATGCACTACAGGCTAGGGAAATCGTTCACAAGAAAGATGTTTTAGAGCTTTTAAGGCCCTAGGGACATGAACAATATGCATTAAGTAATGTAAGATTTAATGTGTGAGGAACAGACCATGAATTGGATTTGTTTGTTTTGTAGAAAATATGCTTAATACGGGATAGGCTTTTGAAATGCTTATGATCAGGCTTGTTCACTAAAGTAAATTTCAACTTTAAGGTCAAAACAGCTGGACTTTGCTACCAATTAATATACTTTGGTTTTAAATTTAAAATGCACTTTTAATGTCTGGACAGTTAAAGGTACACTATAGGGTCTGGAACACAAGCATGTATTCCCGTCCCAAAAGTGTTAATAACACATCGTAGTTCCTTGAAAATATTTAATAGATTGCAAACAGTTGTATTAATTCAGTACAACTGTTTCCTTCACAAGCTTTTGCATTCAACAAATAGGGGTACCTGGGAAATTGATTTAAGATTTTGTGACACATTTGTATCATAAAGAATATTACTTTGTAATAAGAATTTTTTTTTATCATAAAGCTATTTTTTTTGCTTACATTTTCTAGGACGGTCATACTCTAGAACTTTACAACAGGCAGCTGTAAGATTACTTCCGAAAAGGACATGTGAAGAGAGATACAAAAGCCGGTTTACAGGAAGGATGCTTTGTGCTGGAAGTCTTGAAAAACAGAAACATGTGGATAGTTGTCAAGGAGATAGTGGTGGTCCTCTTATGTGTGAACGCCCAGGGGGTAGTTGGAGTGTTTATGGGGTAACCTCTTGGGGTTATGGCTGTGGTGTAAAAGACTCTCCTGGGGTTTACACAAAGATTTCTACTTTTTTACCTTGGATTAAAAGTGTGACCAATTTATAATCGGAAGTGGAACCCAAACTTTTTCCAAAGCATAAGACCAAATTGTCATAAAATTTACAACTTAAATTTTTTACCAACAAGGCACTTAAGAGCTAGGCTGTCATAATGTCTTATTACCTCAGGGCAACTAGCAAGTGTTACATATTGTATAGTTTATTAATTCATGTGGAAGATGTTCATACGTGTTTATTTAATGTAAAACCATTTGCAGCTCTATCCTGAAGCTATTTCTGGTATTGGGAAGTCAGAAAGGCAGCGAAGGGCAGCCATGACAAGTACACTTGGACAATTTACTGTTTCTTTTTTTAAAAATATATAGAAATGTTTACCTGTAGATGGAGCTATGGTATAGAAATGTTTTAGTAATATTCAACACAAAGTTTCACGGATGTTCGAACAATGTTGCAAAGCCTTTTTTTTATACACAGTGTTTGAAAAAAATTGGGAATAATATGACAACTATATGACATTACAAATGGATCTGTATAACTGAATTATTATTCTTTGGTTATGGTTAAGAACCATATGATAGTGAAACCCATGTGTTGTGTATCTCGTTACTGCTGTATTCTTTAGGGACACACTCCTACAATCCCTTCCATGCTGTCCAATTGGACCAGGCAGACCTATGCTTGGTAGGTCACTCATATAATCATTTGTCCAGATCTATTATTAAAGCACATCAGTCTTGTAGCATATGGTGTTCATAAACACATTGCTTAAATAATGTTAGCTTTATGTTTTCACATTGGGAATATGGAACAATGTTCAAGAGAAAGAGACTTCAGTAGTACACAAAGGTTTATGAACATGGTAGAATCATTTCTAAGAATTACAAATTAACATAATTTTGCATGTCTTGGTGAAGTACCTATACGTTTACCTAAATCAGCAGGAGATAATATACCAGGGTTAACTTATCTTTTTATATATAATTTTGTAGTTGACAACTGTGAGCACATTTACATGTTTATTATTTAATTTACTTGCAAGCATTGTTTGCGATTTAACGGTGTATTAAATGATTAAAATGGTTAAAACACTTGCTCTAACTCATATCTAACAATTTTGGTTCTTCTCCCTCCCTTATCTTATTTTTTTTATGTACACAATCTTTCATCCATACCAATTTTTGTTCTTCACACTCATCATTTGCCTGCTTTATTTTACTACTTTCAATCCCTTAAGGATCAACAAATGGAGTAATTATATTGAATACCCTTTAAATAGTCTCCTATGAAAATGGAATGTCCCAGTCATTTAACAAATGTAGGACAATACATAAAATGAAATTAAAAATAATTAAGATATTTCATACTAGCATGTGGTCTTTAAGGATCTGATTGTGATCATCAAGGGGTTATGATTATAGTCATATGAGTCATACAGGGTGGCCCATAAATCCCTACCCATCCAGCACACAGATACACTGGATACATAAGATATATGGATGGGTAGGGAGTTACGGGCCACCCTGTAGTCAAATGAGTTTAAGTGTGTTTTGATTTTTTCCCTCTGTTTTTTTTCTACTCTTTTTTTCCCCACGGTGCATTTATGTTTATCTTAACTTTTTAACTCCATGTTTCCTTTTCACATTTTAACCCCTTTGTATTTCTTTATTATTACTTGTTTCACCCTTTCTGTTTTTAAACTGTGATAAGAAACAAAAATGTATTCATTGAAATCATCCAACATATTCAGCATTAAAAATGTATCCCATAAAGTGGCCCTGTCATCAGAAAATGTATTGTTGCTATCATATAACATATACAATGTTGCATGCATTTTGTGCTAATACGTTTGTCAACATTTTCTTTAATTAAAATTAGAATAAATAATTTATAGCTAACTTTTCTTTATGGTACAGATAGCATTCAACATAATCAGAAATGTCAAACAACTATTTAATCTCTCTTTTATTTTAGAATTCTGGATAAATATCTAAATTTCAGTCTTAGATTCTGATTGGTCACTGGCATCGCACGTTAAACTTCTTCTAAAACAATTAGTTGTTTAATGTTGGTTGGCCAAATCTGCAATGTGAACACTTTATATGAATATATATATTTTTTCTTCCACCCAACATCCTCTAGAGCCAATGGAAGGCCATTGAGACTGAAATAATGTCTTGGTTTTCCCTTTCTTAAAGCCACCTTACAAATTAAATACTACCCCTGTTTTAAAAAAATCTTTTTATTAGAATGTTATCTATATTTCTATGTAACATCATCTATTTACTTTTTTGTTTATATTGGTTTATATTTTACTGTATACAATGTTTTAACTAATTATCTCCTGTGACCAACCACACCCCCTGTTTTTAAGCTATTTAAACAAGATAGGTCTCACACACTATAAACACTTTGAAAAAGCCTGTTAAAAGAGAAACGCGTTAGTGTTATCAATTTTATACATTTTATTATCTCCAAATAAAGCTTATGGTTTTATACTGCTTTGGAGACTCTAGACCTATGTTTGAAAAAATATATATTTTTTATCCTGGCATTTTTTATCCTGGAATTTTATCCTGAATATTCTCACAGGAACATCCTCGGTGGGGATCATACCACCCAAGCCTTATAGGATTGAGCAATACCTGTATTTTCTCTCTGTTTGTGAGTATATTTTATTCCTTTTTTTTTTATCAGCTCATTACATACAGAGAGCACTATAGTCTGTTTTTATCTTCCCTGTATACTGAGGACATCTGACTGCCGACCAATTCACAGCCTGAGAACAAAAAAACTCACCAAGAAGTACCTGGATCTACCATTATATCCACAGACGGGGATTGTTCCGTCCATGCGCATCAATCTGGAGCTGAACATAAGCTCCAGAAAATTGTAAGTGCATTTCTGTTATCTATACTCCACCAAGATTTTTTTTTTCAATATGTAATTTTTATTGATTTAAAAAAAACAAAGAAATCGGTAAAAGGTAACAAACATTACACTATATTAAGTTTCTTTGTTCATTTTCTATATTTTACTGGATCTGAGAACAATTCTACAGGCGCTGTCTCCCCGCTCCCCTTTCTGCTATATTAAAATTGTTGCTGTCATGTATAACTGCTATAAAATGTAAATCTAAAGGGACAGGATATTAAACATTCATTTTAACATCAAGAACTCACAATTAAATACTGAGATATAAATTTATTCCTGAAAATGTAAAATGTCTAATTCTGTTGCTAAAAGTATATTCACATGTCTGGATTACTAGTATAAAACATTTATTTATACCAGATCCAAAGTTTCCAATGTTGTAGAATGGCCATAGTAAAACTCATATAAAGCTTATGATAAGCTGGTGTCACTTTAATTCAGTTGTATATTTTGCCAGTAGATGGTTATTGCATTCACACAGCTATAATACATAAAGTGTGATTTTTTTTTGTGTTTTATAGTTATGAAATATTGAGAGTGTTGAAGTAAACCATTGCTCACATTACGTTATATGACAAGACAAAAAACATAATGAAACGTTCTGACAGAAACTATTCTTGCAAGTGATATACACCAAGAACAATAAATGGATCCAGGCTTGCGTAAAAGGATCTGCTCTAATAAACCTGTTTTCCGTTGCCTTCTTATTCAGATATTTCATTCCTCTTCAATATTAATGCTGGCACTTCAAATATTACCTCATCTGCAAAGCGGAATGCCCACACACATTTTTATTTCAATGGGGAAATCATATTATCAAATCATGTACTGTGTAATGGTGGTGGAGAGGGTGGCGATGTCACACTATGCCTTAGATACATTAATACGGAACACAGAAGATATCCGTTTTTTGAGTTTTAGCTTTAAATAAGAGTTTCCTTTTATGGGGTGAGTTTAGACCTCTCACATTAAAGGACATACATATCATTTTGCAAACCTAACAGAAATGTAGATTATGCATTATATGAAATAAAGTAGGAAGAAAGCAAATTCAGAAAAATGGGGTGATTATGAATTTGAGACATTCTTTTGCTTTATTTCTAATTTTATAATGAAAAGGTATACCAAACACAATTTAAATAATAACATTTTTCATATGTATAATCAAAACAAACCATATATAGTACTACATATCTCTGTTACAATGTACATTTGTCATAATATATGTATAGGATTTGCAATTGGTCAAAATATAGCACAGAAATTGTAATGGGGCAAATTATAATGGGGGGAAAAATAACGTTAACAAAATAAAGCTTTGTATTCATGGCACTTATAGTATCCCTTTAATGCCTAAAAAAACTTACAAAAAGAGAATTTTTCAAGCACATCATCATAAACCAGGGAGCAGGAGAGACCAATTCTGTTGCAAAGTGCTGATGCAGGAAGAGGTAATCCAGCTTCACAAGAACAATATGTTGAACGTAAAAAGAGGTAAAAACAAAACAAAAAATAGCCCTACGTGTTTGGTCTGGGGAACCAGACTTCCTCAGGGCAGAAGAGCCTTAGATCAATTTGGCATAAAGCTGTCTAAATAAACACCAGTATATAGTCCAAGCCACCTCCTCTCTGATCATCTTGAGCCAACCAAGGTATCGAGGGTGCCGCTATATATAATTTCCAGTAATTGAACTTTGTGCCTGATATGCATGGTGGAACGCATATGTGCTGCACCTATGTCACTGCCAATATCAGAAGGACATCATATTAAGAAGACAGAAGTGAGACACCCGACGGTGACGTAGGTGGAGCACATATGCATTCCACCATGTGAACCGGCGCAAAGTTCACTTTAAAAAGGCAATAAAGTAATGTTTATTCCAACTGCGGTGAGTCCGCAGTGGATAAGATCATAAAAATTGAGCATAGCAGCCAATCCAATGCTTTCTTATAGGAAATCATTAGAAAGCTATTGCGCACGCGTCAGCATCATTGAATCAATGTATCTCTATCAGTGCCTCCATGCAGAATGTGGACACGCTGAACGTCAGTGCTGCACACTGTAGCACTGACCCAAGAAGTGCCACAGCAGATGTCCCTAGGGAGCAATGTAAATTGCTTACATTAAAAAGCCTGCAGGGACTGACTATACTTACCAGAACAAATACATAGAGCTGTAGTTGTTCTGGTGACTATGGTGGCTCTTTACATTTTCTATGGTTCTGGGTTGTTTCCAGTAATGCTAAGGACATCAACAGTCCAAAGAAATGGAGATTAATGCTTAGTGCCTTTGGGCTGATATTGCATTTATCCAAGACACTCATCTTACAAGGTCCTCCACTATAAAACGTACTGACTATATTTATGATATGGCACATTCCTCTGGCTCCTTCTGCAAAATAAATGGAAAAACCATCCTATTTCTATAAAGCTGTGTATTGCAGATAAATAAGGTTCTTACTGACAATAAAGGTAAATATGTTTTAATATCAATGTTTTTTGAGTGGGGGTGGGGGGGGTTCATTTTTAAATACTGCTCCCGGTTTGCCTTTGGGCTTTAATGCTCTATGAGCATGATCAAATTTAATAAAAGTGTCCTCAGGATGTTCTAGGATAGAGTTAAATAAATGGGTCAGTGTCGGGATCATATTTTAAATTTTTTCTCAGTGTTTGGGAACACCCTTCACTAGTTTATTATTTTGTCTGCCCCTATTTTCAATTCTGTCTAAGTAACGGTATAATAGGGAAATCTGTAGAGTGTTAGTACTCACATGTGTCTCAAAAGACAAAAGTTGTGTTTTTTGATCTTCAGTAAATTATTCCAGATCTTGCATCTAATTATCAAGGTTGTCCCAAGCGTCCGTTTCAAGCTCTGTGATTTTCATTAAGAAGGCTTTATCAAGGGCAGTCAACATCATAGTAATGTTATATTTAGAAGGTAAGTCTCTAATAGGTGGGTATGGAGATGTTGAAGATTTGGAAACTAAGAAGCTGAGTTGTGAGACCATGGGTGATGGCACTCTCAAGGACATATTTTATTTGGAAGACCATGGATACCCGACTGCTTTATTCCTATAAATGTTCTCCAGGGGTTGAATTTGGGACACTGTAGTGGTATTGTGTGTCTTAGTGGACACAGAGTAACATCTTTTGCTGCCCAATGTAAAAAATGCAAAGATTCACTCACCACTTGGTTAGAGCTACAGTCTAATGCTTCTGCTCTTATGGCTGCCCAGACATGTCCCTGGACATACGCCTTTTGAGACAGTGTAGTAAGTATTTTCAGAGTTATTCACTTAAGTGAGAATTGGCAGGATTTGAAATTGAATTTCAAATTTATGGCCATCATAGTCAAACTGAAAACAAATTGAAAACTAAATTGTCTTAGAGAATGTTTTCATTCTCAGGTTAATGACAATTGAAGTGGAAAAATCAATTAAAGTATTGATTATTTCTTTGTGTATCTGCCCCTGGCCAAATCAATGAAACTATGCGTGCACGCTCCCTGAAGTAATTCACACCAGACACAGGTTCTAGGTTGTTGAATAACTTGAGGAAAGTTTATTCAGAGGGGACGGCAAGTCCCTTTTAAAGCAAAATTACATCATATGCATTGTCAGAGATAACATGGAATGATACATCAATAATTGGTTAGGTGTTAAGTGGTTGCTCTAATGCTCTGCCTACTGCAGGTGATGTCACCGGGACCATGAGGGTCTCCCACGGTTTTCCGGCGCCATCTTGTTACACGAGGTAGTTAGTCGATGTTTAAAAAGGGAGGGGAGGGGAAGGAGGGGTTAGAAGCTTCTAGCAGCCATCTTGATTGAAATATGTGTACTTAGCTATATATGTGAGATATATATATATATATTGTAAAATGAGTAAATAGACATTTTCCTTTAACTAGGAAATATGTGTAGACCTTATTTCCACAACAGTCCCCCCTAAAATGGCTATTTACCATTACAACTGCTGCTGTCCCTAATATGTCCCTAGTTGCCCGCAACCTATCTGCCTTGACAAGCATCGAACACTTCACTCCGCGGGTATCCCGCAGTGGCTAACCCACTACATCTCCACACGTGAGACTCACCTGTCAAGACAGACGCTTTCCCTACTCTATCCCTACAAAAAAGCAGTTGTCTGTTTAAACTGATGTGTTTGTAGGGGTGTATGTGGGGTGTCATCTTCATGGTCTGTGATATCCTGATGTATGAAGGTAGGGGTCACATTCTCTACAGTCTTATCTACCGCTTTCTGCAGATATTTCTGTATACAGGGGAGTATACAACAGGCTGAGAACAAAAAGATAATGAATACCATGAGAACAGCTGTCCCTACCTGAAAGAGGGTCTTTTGCCAGCCATTCATCCACCCAAACCATTTGTCCCATATGTCAGTGACTCCCGAATTCTTCTTTAATTCGTCTGCAAGACTATCTAGCTTTTCTATGGCCATAGTCACTTTACCATTGGGCCCCGTGTTGTCTGGAATGTATGTGCAGCATGTCATGGTCTCAGGGAGGATTTTACATACTCCCCCTTTTTCGGCTAGAATCATATCTAGGGCCATTCTGTTCTGAAATGTCATTTGGGTAGTGGCTTGTAGTTGCTCTGCCAGGCCCTGTAGGGCATCCCTTGTGTAGTTGACAAAGCGTTGCTGATTATAATAGATATAGTTAATCCAATTGACATTCTTGTTAGCAGTTATCATTGGGATTAGGGACTCAAACCCTGCAGCCACTTCATCTCTTGCTTTAAATTCGTTAGGCACCCCCCTTGGCACACCTATGGCATCAATATACACATGGGGGTCGAAACTCCCTCGAATAGGGGTCTCTCGTTTGGTTCTAGAGTGTATATGTGTGAGGTTAAGCGTGTTATGGTCACCATCTGGAATGATGTGGATAGGCATTATGACTTTGGTTAGGGCACACTCCCCCCACCATTGGCCAGCTAATTGGGGCCTTAATTGTTTGTCACCACATAACCAATAGATATCACCGATTGTCTTTGTGTGATTCATTAGCAGTGATACAGGTGGACTATGGTAAGTTGAGCAGTATCCTGATGGGAATTTGCCCAGATACAAACCAGTGTTTTCTGGTATTGAATAGCATGTGTAATTACCTGGGTAGATGGTGACTCCATCGGGTGGTTTCACATGTCCATGAGTGATTGGGTAAATCTTCTTCCAGGATTCACATGTTGAGGAGTTAGTGGTGGATTGTGCATACAAACTCAGTACACATAATTCTATTTCCGGAGGTAAACTCAGAGGTACTGTACCCAGATGGGGTCTGGCACCTCCGCATACATAACAATTAGTCTTATTGTGTGAGTTGGCGTTGTACCTCATCCATTCTAGCCATAAATTGGTATCTGAAAACCCTGTTTCTACTGCCATGGTATCTTCAAAGGTGGGGTTGGCTATGGCTACCATGTCATGTAGGGTTTTGATGTGTGGTTTCAATGGGTTAATGACCATATGTGTGGTTCCCACCCAATCAGAGGAATTTAGCATATCTTGCAAGTAAAAGGTCCCCAATGCGTTATGTGAGCCACCTCCCTTCCAGTACATTCCCATCACATACTCCCCTGCATCCCTTGGACTAGGGTGTTCTATGTTTAAGGTGAGTTTAATGGGAGTTGACCCTATGGGTTTACTCAGGGTCATTCTAGAGAGCAAGGGTTTCCCGTCTTTGTCAAGCTTGTCTAATGCAACTTGGGGTCTGTAGCCCCATGGTCTACCTGTGTTCCACCCGGCAGCTTTCCATGAACTACAATGGTGTCCCCAACCTTCGCCAGTCACACAAATGTATGGATCCTTTTTGTTAGGTATGTCCTTATATACAGCTGCATGTTGTGTTTGTGGAAATGTACAAGTAACTATGTCACAATAGTCAAAGGTGTATGTAGCCACATCAGTATTAGAAGAATTGTACCAAAAAGTGTAAACATGGTTATCTTTGGTTATGGCCACTTGTTGGGCCCATGCAAAATGTAGCAGCATAAGAAAACACAAGACACATAATAAATTCATTTTTCAACAGGATCAGACTCTTCTGGAGCAGGCACTTTTTTGCAATGTGAAGCGTGTATCCAAGAACTCTTCCCAGCTAGTTTAACTGACGTTGCTGTAATCAGGAGCACTTGGTAAGGACCATCAAATCTCGGTTCCAGGGTGTGTTTTCTGAGAAACTTCTTAACCATAACCCAATCACCTGGAAGCAGCTTGTGTGTACCTGTGTTCGACTCAGGATCTGGAATAGAAGAAAACACTTGTGCATGTATCTTGGTCAAGGCATGTGAGAGGGCTGTCACATAATCTACCATTGCATCTGACTGGATCTGAAGTTGTTGGGGAAAGTAACAACCTAACCTAGGTGCTGTGCCAAACAAAATTTCATAAGGTGACAGGCTGTATTTTCCCCTAGGAGTGTACCTTACACTAAACAATGCTAATGGGAGACTCTCGGGCCAAGGCATGTTAGTTTCTTGTGACATTTTAAGCATTCTGGCTTTCAGAGTGCCGTTCATGCGCTCCACCTTACCACTACTCTGTGGGTGATATGGAGTGTGGAATGCAAGGGTCACCCCCAGTGCTGACCAGACTTCCCGTGTTAGCGAGGCAGTGAAGGAGGTTCCTTGGTCACTCTCAATTACTTCTGGAACCCCGTAACGGCAAACAATTTCTGTCAAGAGATACTTGGCTGTTGTCCTCGCGGTGAGGTTAGTCACTGGGAAGGCCTCTGGCCATCCTGAAAACATGTCCACTATGACCAGTGCATATTCATGGCGTCCGCTCTTTGGCATCTGAATATGGTCAATCTGAATCCTCTGAAAGGGGTATTGTGGCTTGGCTAGATGATTAGGTGCAGTCTTTATGATCTTTCCAGGGTTGCACTTAGCACATATAGTACAAGATTTGCAATAATTCTGTGTTAAGGTAGTGATGCCTGGTGCTTCAAAATACTTGTCAATCAGTGAATTCATCAGGAGCTTTGATAGGTGGGCTGGCCCATGGGCCCATTGGACCACCGCTGGGTACATACTTCTAGGTAGACAGAACTTGAGATTAATAGTGTAAACTTCATCACGGAGTACTGCTCCTTTGTTCTTCCAACTCTGTTTCTCCTGAGGAGTGGCAGCAACTTGTTGTTCCTTCAGCAGCCTGAGGTCTGTAGGCAATGTTTGCATAGTATAAATTGGTAATGCATCTGTGGCCACTCTTCTGTCCACTTCCCATTGTCGTGCTGCCTCTTTGGCTGCCTGATCAGCCAGGCTATTGCCACGTGCTTCTTCTGTGTCTAATCTTCCATGAGCTTTTACTTTCAATACTGCCACTTCTGCTGGGAGTTCCAATGCGTCCATCAGTTCTGCAATGGCTGCCCCATGCTTTACTGGGGTACCGGCAGCTGTAAGGAATCCTCTGGTCTTCCAGATTAAGCCAAAATCGTGTGCCACTCCCAGGGCATATCTTGAGTCCGTATAAATGTTGACTCGTGGGCCTTCGGACAGTTTGCAGGCCACAGTCAAGGCTATTAACTCGGCCTCTTGGGCAGATTTAGTTGGTTGTAGGGCAGCTGCTTGTAATATTTGACATCCTGTGGTAACTGCATATCCAGTGTGGTATTGTCCTTGTTCGTCAGCAAACCTTGAGCCATCCACAAATAGTGTCTGATCCGGGTTGGGTAATGCAGCTTCATAAACAGTTGGTAGGTGTGTAGTTTCCATTTTCATTTGTTCAAAACAGTCGTGAGGGATATCAATAAGGTCGCAGTCTATGGTGGGTGGGTCCTCACAGGCCTCTATGTGGTACCTGGAGTGTCCTGTTGTGTAGTAGTTAATTGTCTTTTTATTTATTCCTGCAGAAGTCAGTTGTTCTGGAGTCATTTGGTTCCAAGTTTTGGCCTTCGGGCCTAGGGTCTCCCATGTGATGTCGTGGGATCTGGTGAGAGGTATGTGTGGGATAGCTGTTTCCCAATGGTGGTAGAGGTGTACTGCATTGTCTGGAAGATGTACCAGAATGAGCATGGTACCTGTGGAGTCCCAAAACAAGTCAGTCAAGGTAATTTGGATATCTTTGAGCTGAAATAGTTCTTCCTCATAGTCCACGTCAGGGTTTGGTGTGTCCCTAAACCACAAGACACAGTGGAGTAGGGCCTCTGATTGTTCATCATCAGGGGAAGGTGTAAACACAGGCAATTGTAAATCTGCTCGGACCTCTGGGTTGATGTCCAGGCTGTACCAGTGATGCACTATTCCCCCCTTGGGAAGTGGCAGAAGAGTGGCTGGGTTCAGGGAAAGGCATCTCTGGAGTTTCACATTGTCAGGTAGGAGTAAGGATGTCTGTAGGCGAAGGTGGCGTTGTGAAGAAAGGTGTTTTGGGCGGATTTGTTGTAAGATTGCAGTAATATCGTGAGGGGCCAACACTGTGAGGTGATGGCCAAGAACAAAGTCATTGGTCTTGTCCAGGAGAGCACTGGCGGCGAACACCGCTCGGAGGCAAGAGGGGCTACCCCTTGCAACAGGGTCAAGCATGCAGGAAAAATAGCCAATAGGGCGTTGTCTTGAGCCATGTTTTTGGGTGAGGACTCCGGAAGCATGTCCTGATTTTTCAGAGACAAAAAGGTTGAAGGGAAGTTGGTAGTTCGGTAGGCCCAAGGCAGGTGCAGAAGCAATAGCTCTTTTCAGAGTGCGGAAACAGATGATAGTTTCTTCTGTGAGATGGAAAGGTTCGCTCCTGAGGGCATCATAGAGTGGCTGCATGAGTTTTGATGCTTCGGGTATCCAGGACCTGCAGTACGTGATTAGACCCAGGAAAGCATGGAGAGCTTGGTGGGTAGCAGGTAGTGGAAGAAGCAGAATGGCTTGTACACGTTGGGAGGTGAGATGTTTGGTGCCATGGGAAAGGCAATGTCCCAAGAAGACCACAGAGGGCCGGCACCATTGTAACTTGGATTTGGAGGCTTTGCAACCAGCAGCAGCAAGAAAACATAGGAGGTCTTCTGAATCACGCTCCGCAGTGAGTAAATCAGGAGCACAGAGAAGGAGGTCATCAACATATTGAAGCAGGACGACATCCAAATGAGATTGTTGCCAGGGTTCCAACACCAGTGACATGGCGTGTGCAAATTGTGTGGGGGAATTCTGAGCCCCCTGAGGCATGACAGTCCAGGTGTATTGCTGTCCTTCATGGGTGAAGGCAAAGAGGAAGCGACATGAAGGGTCAAGGGGGACACTGAAGAAGGCATTAGCTAGATCCACCACAGTGAATATTGTTGAAGTTGATGGGACTTGGGATAAGAGGGTGTGGGGGTTAGGAACAATGGCAGTG